TTTCCCTTGTTACTGATCACAACCCACTCGTTTGGCTTAACCGGGTCTCAGGAGACAATGGGAGACTGCTGAGATGGAGCTTGGCACTACAGCCCTACAATTTTACTATCAGCTACAGACCCGGTAAGCTGAACGGGAATGCAGATGGGTTGTCACGACAAACAGACGTTTCCATCACCTCTTAGTCCGGTCATCCCCAAGTTGACCCACCACAGGGTCAAGCCGGGTCTGCCGGAGTGTCCCACAAGGAGGGAGCCGTGTGACAGAACCATCTGTCTGCTGGATTTTTGCCCGTTCGTCTGTTTGTCCCCGTTCGTATGAATGGCTGGTTTCTATAGCCCAGCCATTCGAATGACTCTCTTTTCCCGAACAAATCTGCCGAACGAACGGCCACCCAAGTGAGGAGTGTGCTGCAGGTTAACGAAGTGATCACCATTAGAACGTTGTGGTTAACCGCAGACACTTCTCAATTAAACCGAACTCAGGGTGGTCGTCGTTCGTATGTCGACCACGAGGCAGCGGCCATTTTAAATCATGCGAACGCTCAGCGGTGTTTGGCTCTATTTCTATGGAACGGAAAACGGACACTTTTTCTGTCAAACACCGCTGAAACAAGGGAACGCCTGGCTGCCTCCACGAAAGCATGCGAACACCGGCCGTTCGGGAGATTGAGAGCATACAAAAGACTTAACCCAGATAGCCCTCCCATGGAGTCATTCGTATACCGAAAGACTGTAAGAACTTTGACTCCATGGCGATTGAACTATGTGTGTGGGATCTGAGCGCTATTCGCCAATAATATGCACTCAGATCCAGGCTATCTGGGGACATGTAATACGAATGGGAAATGTTCAGTTTTCATGTAGTTATGCATTTTTTATGTCTTTTATTATTTTATGTTTAAAATGGCGACTGTCCTTGTCCTGGAGTTAATTGAGTTACTTGGTAATTAACTCCAGGACAGAGGGGAGGGAATCAGAATGCACTGTGGGTAAGAGAGGTGACTGTGTGTCAGAAATGTCCTTCTATCTGTCTGTAATTTAAGTCTTCCATTTGGTCCCCTAGGGGAGTGTCCACCAGGTGGGAGACCTGCATAAATACGGGCAGGTAGCCCACAGTAAAACCAGATCTTATTTGACCCTCAATGCGGAGCTTCTGTCTCGTTATTGGGGGGATTTCTTCTTCACGGTTAGAGACTGCTGGATGGAACGAAAGCCGCTTTGGGGATATTATTGTTCGACGGTTCCTAGCAGTTCGTATATTGCCGCTCGGGAGTTTGGAGCCGTTCGTGGATTTCGATCGGGAGATTGCCGCTTCCCCTGCATTTGGTTCGTGGGTTACAGAGTAAGCGAACAGAGACTGTACTGCAGCCGGGGAAGGTTTACTAAACGGCGGTTTGACTTAAAGACACGGGAGGTGTCTTAACAACGGTGCACTGGGGGTTGGTAGGCTGAAGGAGCGGGTATTACTGCTGGTCGATACTCCAGTCTGGCAGGGGCTTTGGCAGCTGTACCATCCAACTTGCGGGCATCCGTGTATTCGTCTGCCAGACGAGCAGCCTCGGGTAGGGTAGAGGGTTTTCTATCTCTGACCCACTCCCGGACCCCAGCAGGTAGTCTATCATAGCAGTGTTCCAGCAGGAACACTTCTAACACCTCCTCCCCAGTTACCGCTTGGCATCCAGCCATCCAGTGGGCTGCGGTACGATGAACTCTGCAGGCCCACTCTACATAAGAGTCCCCAACCAGCTTGTTGGTTTCTCTAAACCTCCACCTGTACGCCTCTGGGGTCACCGCATACCTGGCTAGGAGCGCATCTTTCACAGCCCGGTAGCTGGTGATCTCCTCCTCAGGGATGGCCCGGAACGCCTCACTAGCCCGGCCACATAATTTCCCAGAGAGGATGGTGACCCATTCATCTGCAGGTACCTGATGAAGAGCACACTGCCTCTCGAAGTCCGCTAGGAACCCATCAATCTCTCCCTCAGTCTCCACAAATTTTTAAATGCAGCAAAAGGTACCTTCTTTCTAGCAAACACATTATTATTGTAAGGTACCTCTGCTGCTGCAGCTCCTCTTTCCCGGAGCGCCTGTTGTGCTGCTACTGTTGCCTGCACACGCTCCACGATGTCAGCTGAGGGGTTGGGGCCAAAATGTGCCAGCCTTATTTGCACTGCCCGGTTAAATTGTATTTCCTCGGGTGTTAAATCCAAGGTACTGGGCACGTTGACTCTCTCCATTCCCGTTGCTGCATCCATCTCCAGTAGCAAAGCAATAATCTCCCGTTTCTTTAAATTGCTTGCTGACCTTCCTCGGCGTTCCAATATGTCCTTAAGTGTAGCACGCCTTAATTCCTCGTACTGCATGTCTTGTAGCTGACCTCCAATGCTGTGGGATTCATCCCGTCGCTTGCCACCAATTGTTAAGACACCTCTAGTGTCTTTAAGCCAAACCGCCGTTTAGTAGACCTTCCCCGGCTGCAGTACAGTCTCCGTTCGCTTACTCTGTAACACACGAACCAAATGCAGGGGAAGCGGCAATCTCCCGATCGAGATCCGTGAACGGCTCCAAACTCCCGAACGGCAATACACGAACTGCTGGTAACCGTCGAACAGCAATATTCCCCAAGCGGCTTTCGTTCCATCCAGCAGTCTCTAAACGTGAAGAAGAAATCCCCCCAATAACGAGACAGAAGCTCCGCATTGAGGGTCAAACAGAATCTGGCTTTACTGTGGGCTACCTGCCTGTATTTATGCAGGTCTCCCACTTGGTGGACACTCCCCTAGGGGACCAAATGGGAGACTTAAATTACAGACAGATCTGGGGACATCCCAGACACACAGTCACATATTTTACCCACAGTGCATTATGATTCCCTCCCAAGAAACCAAGTAACTCAATTAACTCCAGGACAAAGCCAGTCGCCATCTTAGACATAAAAATAATAAAAGACATAAAAATATATAACTACATAAAAACTGAACATTTCCCATTCGTATTACATGTCCCCAGATAGCCTGGATCTGAGTGCATATTATTAGCAAATAGCGCTCAGATCCCACACACATAGTTCAATCGCCATGGAGTCAAAGTTCTTACAGTCTTTCGGTATACGAATGACTCCATGGGAAGGCTATCTGGGTTAAGTCTTTTCGTATGCTCTCAATCTCCCGAACGGCCGGTGTTCACATGCTTTCGTGGAGGCAGCCAGGCGTTCCGTTGTTTCAGCGGTGTTCGGCAGAAAAAGTGTCCGTTTTCAGTTCCATAGAAATAGAGCCAAACACCGCTGGGCGTTCGCTTGATTTAAAATGGCCGCTGCCTCGTGGTCGACATACGAACGACGACCACCCTGAATTCGGTTTAATTGAGAAGTGTCTGCGGTTAACCACAACGTTCTAATTGGGATCACTTTGTTAACCAGCAGCACACTCCTCACTTGGGTGGCCGTTCGTTCGGCAGGTTTGTTCGGGAAAAAGAGTCATTCGAATGGCTGGGCTATAGAAACCAGCCATTCATACGAACAGGGGACAAACAGACGAACGTAGTAAAAATCCAAGCAGACAGATGGTTCTGTCACACGGCTCCCTTCTTGTGGGACACTCCGGCAGACACGGCTTGACCCTGTGGCGGGTCAACTTGGGGATGACCGGACTACGAGGTGAGGGAAACGTCTGTTTGTCGTGACAACCCATCTGCATTCCCGTTCAGCTTACCAGGTCTGTAGCTGATGGTAAAATTGTAGGGCTGTAGGGCCAAGCTCCATCTCAGCAGTCTCCCATTGTCTCCTGAGACCCGGTTAAGCCAAACGAGTGGGTTGTGATCAGTCACAAGTGAAAATTCTTGTCCATACAAATAGGGGCTTAACTTTTTCAATGCCCAGACCAAGGCCAAACACTCCTTCTCCACTGCCGCATAACTCACTTCTCTGGGTAACAGCTTTCTGCTGAGATATGCGACAGGGTGCTCTCCTCCATCTTCCCCGACTTGGCTCAGCACAGCCCCCAGTCCATACATGGAAGCATCTGTATGGACGAGAAAGCGTTTGTTAGGGACTGGGGCTGCCAAGACAGGGGCATTCACAAGAGCCTGCTTCAGTGCCTGGAACGCAGCTTCACAAGCCGGAGACCACAGGACCTGCTTAGGCAAGTTTTTCTTGGTCAGGTCTGTCAGGGGTTTAGCAATAGCGCTGTAGTCAGGGACAAAACGTCTATAGTACCCTGCCATCCCCAAGAAGGCCAATACCTGGGTCTTAGTATTAGGTGTGGGCCAGTTAGCCACTGCCTCTACCTTGGCTGGCTCTGGTCTCTGGCTCCCGCACCCCACTCTGTGTCCCAGGTACTGTACTTCAGCCATACCTAGATGGCACTTTTCTGGCTTCAATGTCAGGCCAGCGGCCCGAATTTTATCCAGCACTACCCCTACATGTACCAGGTGTTCCTCCCAGGACCCACTGTAAATCGCAATGTCGTCCAAGTATGCACAGGCAAATTCTTGGAAGCCATCTAGGAGTCTATCCACCATCCGTTGGAAGGTAGCCGGTGCATTTTTCATCCCAAAAGGCATGACCTTAAATTGGTACAGGCCAAATGGGGTGACAAATGCCAACTTGGGGATAGCATCCTCGGCCAGGGGGATCTGCCAGTAGCCCTTACACAGGTCTATGGTGGTCAGATATCGTCCCCTGGCAATACGATCCAGTAATTCGTCTACCCGGGGCATTGGGTAGGCGTCAGTGGTGGTCCACTCGTTGAGTTGCCTGTAGTCCACACAGAACTGGGTGGTCCCATCTTTCTTGGGCACCAGGACTACAGGCGAGGCCCAAGGGCTGTCGGAGTGCTCGATGACTCCAAGCTGGGTCATCTCCTGTATCTCCTTCCGCATTCCTTCACGGACTGCTTCAGGGATACGATAGGGGGGCTTTCGTAACGGGGTCTGTCCAGGGGTCTCTACCTTATGCACAGCTAGGGTGGTATAACCTGGTTCCTGGGAGAACGTTGCCTGCTTCTCCCATAACAACTGCTGCGCCTGTACCCTTTCTGTGGGGTTCAACCGGTCCCCTAGCTGTACCAAGGTAGTAAGGTCAGTCTGGGAATCCCTTTCTAATAGATCTGGAAGGGGTAAATTCTCAGGATCATCTGCAGCTGGGGCACATACTGCTGCAATATTCTCAGGTCTCTCCTGGTACTCTTTCAGCATGTTCACATGAAAGGACCGCTGGATCCTCTCATCTGCACAGCTGGCTATCAAGTAAGTAGTGTCGCAGATCTGCGCCACTACCTTGTACGGGCCCTGCCAAGATGCTTGCATCTTGTTGGCCTTCACAGGTTTGAGCACCAATACCTTTTGCCCAACCTGGAAGACACGCTGTCGGGCACCCTGATCGTACCATCTCTTCTGTCTCCCCTGGGCCGCCTGGAGATTCTCCCTTACCATCAGGGACAGTTTCTCCATGCGGTCCCGGAGTTCCAGAACATATGGCACAATGGGGGTCCCCTCTTGCTCTGTCTCCCCCTCCCAGTGGCCTCTAATGAGATCTAGGGGTCCGCGGACCCTTCTCCCATACAGCAGCTCAAAGGGGGAGAACCCAGTAGATTCCTGGGGCACCTCTCTATAAGAAAATAATAGATGAGGCAGGCATCTCTCCCAGTCTCTGCAAGTGTCTGTAAAGGTCCTCAGCATCTGTTTGAGGGTACCGTTAAAGCGCTCGCAGAGACCGTTAGTCTGTGGGTGGTAGGGTGAGCTAAGTAACGGCTTAATGCCACACACCTTCCACAGCTGCTGGGTGAGCACAGCGGTGAATTGGGTTCCCTGGTCGGAGAGAATCTCCTTAGGAAACCCGACCCTAGTAAAAATTCTAACCAGGGCATCAGCAACCGTCTCTGCCTCTATGTTAGACAGCGCTACTGCCTCTGGATAGCGGGTGGCATAGTCCACCACGGTAAGAACGTATTTCTTACCTGATGGACTAGCCCTGGCCAGTGGACCCATGATGTCAACGGCTATGCGGGCAAAGGGCTCCCCTATAATAGGCATCGATAATAGCCTAGCCTTAGGGTGGTCCCCCCGCTTTCCTACCCATTGACATGTGTCACACGTACTGCAGTACATCCGCACAGCCTGGTTAAAGTTTGGCCAAAAGAAATTCTGTGAGATCCTATAGGCTGTGTGGCGGGACCCTAGATGTCCAGCTAACGGAACATCATGCCCTATCCGCAGAATCTCCTGCCGGTACTTGGCAGGTACCACTAACTGGCGATTCGGCGGAGAGGCAACACTCTTCTGGGAAGGCTTAGGGATCCTATATAACCTGTCCCCCACCCACTCATACCGCTCCCCATCTACTCCTTCCTCTCCAGCATCTGCCCTGTCTCTGTACTTTTGGAGGGTCGGATCTGCCCGGGTTTCCCTCCCAAACTCCTCTGGGGAATCCCAGCTTAAGGGGACCTGATCTGGGGTACCAGTCGGGGAAGGAGATCTTACCTGGGTCTCATTGATGCTTATTTCGTGCTTGGGGATATTCTACACTTGCAGCTTACTACCGAAAGACCTCCGTTCGACTCTCTACAGCGGGAACCAGGACATCCAAGCGATCAACCCTCCTGCTAGACCGGGGGCAATCATAACAGCCAGAAAGAGTCCCTGTGGGTTTTAAAATCCGCCTGCCTATTGATGTCTATGGTGGTTCGCCCAGTTCGCCCGTTCGCGAACATTTGCGGAAGTTCGCGTGCACCGTTCGCGAACCGAAAATTTTATGTTCGCGACATCACTAATGATGAATTCATATGCCTCCAACTCCCAGATAACCCTAGGATCATCTATAGGAAGGGAAGGAACCTTTCAAACCATCTTACACCTAGCCTATTCCGTGCTAATAAAGCACACAATAAGTTGAATAAGAGGAAAGGATTCCATACTTGTGGATTGTGTAAGGCGTTGAGAGGCCAACTGTTCTACGTGCATTCTTTTTCCAGTTTTACCACGGGTGAGACATTTAAGATTCAAGGAGGTGTTACCTGTTCTTCTACACATGTTGTGTACCTCCTCATATGTGGATGCGGTGCACTATATGTGGGAAGGACAGGGAGTAAGGCCAAAACTCGCTTTTTGGAACACATGAATAAAATCAGGAAGGGTATGCAGGGTCATTCGGTCCCAGTGCATTGCAAAGAATGCTCACACAATTCAAAGTTTTTCATGGATCATCATCGAACAAGTTTCAGGGTAGGTGACATTGTAATGAAGCTAAGGCAAAGGGAGGGATTCTGGATACACAAACTGAAAACACTCCAACCATTAGGGTTGAATGTGGATTTGGATTCAAATTGTTTTTTTATAGTTTTTTTATAATTATTTTTAGATTTTTTTTCTAACACATTTTTTCTAACACATATTTTGTATATTTTTTTTCACATTTTTATGTGACCCAAAATAATAACCCAACTTCCTTCTCTATCTTTGTTTACTCGTTGCTCTGTATACAATGATCAAATGAGGACTGTTTGAACAAAAGTAATTGTGACGAGACCAATCTCGCCACATTGCATTGGAGAAGCCTGGTTGCTCGCCTGCTGCCTTTGGACTATGGCCCCCTGTTAAAAGACATCTTTTTTTACCTGCAGAAAAGCTGTATTCGTGCTTTTCTGCCTGGGGTTCGGTAGATTTGTTTGAATGTGTTACACCCCAGATAGGAATCCCATGGAGCCCATTCGTATGAAACTGACTGTAAAGACTTTGGCTCCATGGCGATTAAACTGTATTCGTGTGGTCTGAGCGCCATTCGCTTAATAATGTGCACTCGGACCTGAGCTATCTGGGGATATGTTACATGTCTGTGTTTTATGTAATAAATGTGACTTTATGTATTTTAAAGTGTTTTGTGTCTTTTTTCAACCATGTGCTTAATGGAGTCTTGTGTCTGTCCTGGGAGATAATTGAATTACTCTCCAGGATAGAAGACTCTGAAACTGGTTTGGGCCAGAAAGCCATGCTTCATTTAGTCACAAAGGACTTTTTACTAACTTTTGAACCCCTTGTCTGATTTGTGCCATTTTTAATATGTTGCTCCCCTGAATGGATTGATTCCAAATATGTAATTTTATGTGAATGTGATGTATGGTTTTAGAGTTATGAAAGTTGGGTAGAAAGTATGTTTTAACTGTCTGTGTAATTGAGTTTCCTCTCAGGATAAGGGGAGAGAATATGTGGGATGTAACTGTGATGTGATTGGTTGTTTTATACCTCCCTGTGGGCGGTCCTGTATTTGCAAGACTGTAATAAAAACCAGGCTGGGTGTGCCAGCACCTCAGACCACTGCTTGACCCTCAACACGGAGCCTTGTCTCGTTCTTGGGTTTGCCAGGAGTGTAAGCTGATTGTCTTCTTTTCCTGTTCATCTGCTAGCAGCTATTTGGGAGGTTCCAGTTCGGGAGTTGGAGTGCTATTTTGTATCCAGTTCGGGAGTTTGGTGTTCTGCAGTAGCTGTGCCTGTATCTCTGGAAAGGGGGCCGATCGCCTAAACGGTTTTTTCCCCTTTTGTGCAAAACGGTC